CCATTGGCCGACGCAAGACCGCGACCCCTTCTGGAAGCATCCTTCTCCGCCCGCTCGCGCTGTTTGCGCTCAGTAGTCTCCCACCGATTGAATTCGGTCAGGGGAAGTCGATCATCAATCATCATGCGCTTCAGCCGCTGCCGCTCTTCCGGATGACTGGTACCGTACAGCTTCAGCATAACTGGGCATGTAAACGAGCCGATCTCTCCCGTCAACATGCCTTCGATAAACAGCGACTTCGAGTCCTGCATTAAATGACGTTAAAACGACAGTCCAGAACCAAAGGCATTTCTTTACGGAAGCTCCCGTTCGATCCCTTACCATATACTTCGCCAATCGAGCAGCTACATCTCGGGGAATATGACCAATCTGATTCCCCATGACGTTCAAAACACGGATCGCATTCCGGTCATACGGGTTATTAGGCTCACGATGCAGAAGCACGTGTTCGCCAACAGTCGCGTAACCATTGTAGTACCGGACCCCCACGATCTTGGTTCGCAGGCTGCCGTAGTGCATGAAGCTAACATACGAGGAATCATCCTGGCTTCCCTGGATCAGATCCTCGGCTTCCGCATCGTCCTCTCCTTCTAGGATAATGGCCTGAGAGGACTGGCTGAGCGGCACGAACTCGGTACTCTCGCTGAATTGTTGGCCAGTGAGAGTAGTGGTAGCAGTTGTGTTGCTACCAGGACGCGTTGCTCTTTTCCCCTTGGGGGTAGTGTCTCTGTCGTCAATGGTGAGGTCCACTTGGTCGATGTTCCGCTTAGCACGGGGCCGCCCCATCCTTGCTGCAAGGGATGGATGCTTGTCCGTTAACGTCCGCTTGACGCGACGCAAATGCGGGATTAGATATGGAGAAGAAGATGACATAGAAGGTTGTGGATCAAACCTTACCGGATTAGGAATAGCTGACAGCTGGACGGGAACGCGCTAAGCCACGGTCCCACGTGATCCACATTATGATCTTACTGCAACAGGAATGGGTAGAACTGCCTTCATCAGAAGAGAAGAACGTCACTGTCTATGAAGGGCGATGAGTTCATTGTATCCATGCAAAGTCTATATAGATTGCTACTTTTGGAGAGTTCAGTCCTTGAACGAGCCGCGCGTGTTGGCACGGTCAATGTCATAGGGATTCGCGTCGTAGACGTCCTGCGAGGTCACCATCTTCTGAGACCGATGCGAACTGGCAGACTCGGTTGAGATGGTTGACTGTCTCCGACTGAGCTTAGCAGGGTCCAAGGAAGCCCTCTCTACCTCTAATTCCGCAGAGGTGGGCTCCAAGGTTACCTGGCTCGGGGCCGCCATGACGCCCGGGTTTTCCTTCCCCTCTTCCTGTGGTTCTTTGACGGTTCGTTCCATCAACTTCCGCATGAATTCGTCCGACTCTGCGGCGAACTTGCATCTTCTTCGGATGACAGGCCCGTACTTGTAGAAGAGGAATGGAAAGGGCACACAGGCGAGTGCCAGGAAGGCAGGTATGGACGAGGCCCAGTGAATACCTAGACCTGATTAATTCCACTAAACAACAACACCTGAAAAAGTGACTTACCCAACGAACTATACATATATTTTACGAACAAGGGAAAGGCGGCGGCGAAAATCGAGCGCAGGACGGCGCTAGCAGCGAGCACGGAGGCAGCGTAAATGGTGTACGCATCGATCAGATAGTTCATGAGGCTGAGAAAGACAAGGACCATGCCAAAACCAAACGGCACACCAGCGGAAATACTGGCCAGATAGTGCATCGAAGGGTAGTTTGTCCAGGCAAACCAGAAGAGGCCAACGGGAATGGCTACTGAAGCGACCAGGCAGGGAGGCAAGCGCGCCTCAGGAGGCGCAAACCCTTTATGTGCCTCCTGGGTTCTGATATACCGCTTGTTATCGAAGATGCTGAAGGCCACAGCACACATCATGCCAATCATGATCCCCAGGAAAGCCAACCCTGACACACCTTGGTTCCAGCCTCGCTGGCCGGCATACACGATGGGGAAGGCACCGAACATCATAAACAGAGTCCCGTACACGATTGCCATGTATATTGACAGCAAAAGAACAATGGGTTCTCGGAAAAGCAGAATCCAAGGGCGGGACAGCGATATCTTCAAAGAGTGGCCGAGCGTTTTCTTTCCTTGTTCAGCTTCGATCCTGCTCTTGTAGACTTTGCCAGTAGCCTTGGAAAGCTTGATGGCTCGCTGACGGAGGAGAACGGGCGCATACGTTTCTGGGACGATGAGGCCCGCGATGATCCAGAGTGCGCCAGAAAAGATGGCCAAGAGCCCCATTACCCACTTCCATCCCTCCGTCATGCCCAGGAAGCCACCAATGATGGGCCCTAGGACGGGGCCGAGGAACGGGGCCGCCGCAAACAAACTCATCGCCAGACCACGTTGTCTCGCCGTGAAAAGGTCCGCAATGACACCGCCTGCGTTAGTCAAAGGGGACGACCCGAAAGCTCCGGCGAGGAATCGGAAGACAATGAGCGCTTGGATGTTCGGTGAGCCTGCAGACGCGGCGTTGAAAATCGTCAATCCGCAGTAGCTGATCAGAAAGAGATACTGTCTTCCCCAAAGCTCGCTCATGGGCGCAAAAATGAGGGGACCGATCGCGAACCCCAGCACGAATGTGGACACGCCCAGAGTTGCTACTTCTGTGCCGACGTCAAACTGTTCCATGATCTGTTCCATGCCGCCAGTGTACGCCGACGAGACCAGTGACACGGCTAAGGTGGCCCACGCCATAACCATGGTGTAGACCCATTTCTTCGTCATGGAAAATTCCAGGGGGTTCCGAGGATCATTGTCAATCCAGGTGACTAGGTATGGGTCTTCTTCTGTGCCTGAACCGGCGAAGCTATAATCAATGATCTCTTGGGTGAGCGCACCTTGGTCAAAGAGCAGACGCCAGTGCGGTATCCGAGTGGGTTGAACAGGCTCGATAGTATCAGCCGAAGCTGACTGGCTGTTGGCGCCCATCCGTGCTTAAGGATGGGATTGTGCAGGTCGACAAACGGACGAAGAGCCACCAAGTATGGAGGATATTCTCTAATTTTTCAAATCTCGAATAGTACAAGAATGCCAATCGTACATACTATCGTAAGAACTTAGAAGAAGACCGTCCGTAGTGTCACGGAGGAAGAATGGCGGCCGGACGTTAGTTAATATTGGGTGCATCCGAAAGAGTAGCAGCTTTGGTGGAGAATCAAAAGTGTCCCGAGTCAAGCTCCGGCCAGAATAGAATCAGACATCGACTGGACCCAAAGAGGAAAGTCGGTGGTTTTATTTATTATCGCCGACTACTTAGTATGAGCATCCAGTATTTCGGGAAATCGGCAAATAGTGGCGCCTTAGGATCCAATAACTGGCGGGACGGGACGGGCGTGAGGGGAACATGGTGATTAGCTTAGCCTCTGGGCACCTACAAGGACACAACAGCGTCATAGGACGCGAGGCTCGCTGTGATCGGATCTCCTTTCTGCCGACGAATCGCAGAACGGAGTGGTGGGAGTGGTTGGAGTGATTGATTCATTATGGGAACTGCGTCGGGAAAGCGTCCTTGGTGAAGGTCTTAGCGCTGACCTCGTCGATGGCAACCTGGGAGGAGTTGTTAAGAGCGGATGGGGATAGGAGATTAGACGGCTTTTCCGAGTCAGGGTCATGGAGTTAGCAGCGGCGCTGGACACTGGACACTGGACACTGGACACTAGAGATGGAGATGCAGGGAAGATGGCGTGATCAGGAATATGGTATGGAAGCAAACTGAAGCAGACTGTTCATTATTTCATTGACACTGGAGTTATGAAGGGATCCTATTGCATAAAGGTCATCAGCGATCACATAAAAGGAAGGCCAATACGAGATCATGGATACCTATGGATGGTCAATTAGCTCTTAGCCTGGTTGTTCCTTCATGGTTCCAGCGAGTCATTTCTCCAGTTGACGATGGTCTGGTGGGGATTCTCCGCTCATCTGATCTCTGGGTAGACTCTGGGGAGGGAGTTAATAGTTATCCACAGTGGGACTTTTTCACTCTGATGGTTTTGATTCGAGGACCATAGGTAGCAGCCACGGATGGACCTAGCCGATGGACATGGCAGAGATATTAAGAAGAAGAAGAAGAAGAAGAAGAAGAGTCGTCATCGTCGTGACTCGTGATGGAAACAAGGTTGATGCCACTAACCCCAGGCATCCTACTTCAGGCACCAACTACGGAGTACTTATATTGACTGTCATTGACTGTCAACTGGTGTGCAGCAGTAGGATGAGTCTCCATCCAGAAGTTATAGGGCTTAGATGTAACCTTAAAAATCCAGCCAAAACAAGCTCTAAGAGTAGTGATCCAGTATGGTGCAGTTGTCCGTCTGTTGTTGTCTTGTTCCACAGCATGGATTATCTACAAGTGCAGCCTCATTGTATTTGATCTGACCTTGTCTCTCACTATGACCAACATATTCATACATTTACACAACCTACGCCCATGCTGCATATCTTCATGGTAAGAAAGTCCTTCAGATGGCAGGAAACAAATGTATGAGTCTCTTAAGATGTCAGTCTTATCTCATCCGATCGGTCCTTTCATCATTGTTTTCTGCTTGGCAAAAGCAGAAGAAATGACGATTCTAAGTTTTTATCATCCGAACAAGAATTCAAGAGTCAAGACTCAAGCGTCAAGCATCAAGCATCAACATTGCAATATGAAGAATACTGCAAGAGGTGATGAGAAAAAAGGTGGATAATGTTCTGTCTGCATCATGATCCTGAGCATCCCTTGCATTGTCCGCATTTTTACTTTTTCTGCGCTTCGGTTTCCCTTTTGCCTCCGTCCCAAAGTCCTCCATCGACCCCTGAGTTCCATCTACATTCTATCTAGATAGTCAAGTCGCAGTCTGATCAAGATACACTGGCTCTAGTTCTCCCGAAAATCTTCATCCTTGGATATACCATCGGCAGTCAAAATCTGCACAATCCTAGACCTGACATCAAGGAGCTTGACTGCTAATGGCCCATCCCACCTCTTACCGCCAAATCCTTGACAACAACCGCGACCAGTTCGAGCTCCTCATCCAGCATGGAGACTACAAACCCTTCTACCTGTGGCATCTCCTTGTCTTCACCGCTCTTCCTTTATGCGGTCTGTTGATATCCCGGCGGCGTGGAGCGCGATATCTTCGCCCCGTCGTCTTTGCTCTTATTCTCGGGACAGCCGTTGATGTCATGCGACACCGGCGTGCGCTGTTGGGAGCGAATGGTTATATGGGAGGCTTGGTGACAGCCTGGTGGACTATTTGGAGTGCGACGATTCTAATCTTTAACGATGCCGAAAGAGATTTCGAGCGAATAGAGAGGCGCTCGTGTAACGCAGCGGGTCCGGACAAAGCGCGGACACCAGACGACGAAAAGAAGCCCCGGCCCAGTGACAAGGTCGCGAATGGTCACATCCTCAAGGCAAAGCAATATGCATCCCAGCGGGAGTCAGAGACCCTCGCCTGGCAGCCGTATCCCCGCGCATTCCTGCACCGTCTCAACTGGGCGTTGGGCCTGCTCTTCAATATGCGAGGTCCAGAATGGAACTGGCGCATATCCACCTTGGATCCGTTGCCTGACTCGCTACAGAGGCAAAGGTCTACCAGAAATAGGCAGTCCGTCCGTGAAGCAATGAATGAGACCGGCCATGAGCCCGACGCACGAGCGCGTCTGAACGCCATCCTCCTCAACTTCCTCAAGCACTACCTCCTCCTGGACCTGGTCAAGGTTCTCATGATGCACGACCCATACTTCTGGGGTCTTGTCTCGTCGGCCCCGGCCCGCCCATTCCCTTTCACCTACGTCCCACTCCCGACTATTCCCGTCATCCTCGTGCGTCTCTACCGAGAAATCCTGAGCGTACTCGGCATCTACGCCGCTCTAAGCTTCGTCACCCCCCTCAACCCCATCATTTTTCTAGGCCTCTCGCTCGCCTTCCCCAACGCCTCGCGCGCCCTCACGCGCGTCCCACTGGATGCTCCCTGGCTCTACTCCGACCCCTTCGGCCCTCTTGCCGGCCCCTCCCTCGACCATGGCCTCACAGGCTGCTGGAGTCAATGGTGGCACCAACTCTTCCGCTTCGGGTTCACCTCCACCGCCAGGTTCCTCCTCTCTCTACTCCCCAAACACCTGGCAGCACGCCCCAGCATCCGACGCACCGTAACGACCGTCACTGCATTCTTCCTCAGCGGCCTCGTCCATGCCTGCGGAAGCTACACCCAGTTCGCCGAGACGAGGCCCCACGCCCATTTCGTCTTTTTCCTCCTGCAACCTGTTGGGATCATGATCCAGAACCAGCTTGCGCGGTCTATCAACGCCAGGTACCGCTTCTCGCGGCCCATCAGACGCACCGCTAATGGGATGTTTGCTTTCTGGTGGCTGTTTTTCTCCAACGGACCGATCGTGGATGATTTTGCCCGCGGCGGGCTCTGGTTGACGGAGCCGTTGCCCATTAGTCCGCTACGTGGGTTGGGGCTCGGGGCGAAGGGCGAGGGGTGGTGGTGTTGGGGGGAGCCGTGGTTTCGATACTGGGATGGGGGGAAGTACTGGGAGAGGGGGTTGAGGGTTTTATAAAGCCGTTTCGGTTGTGTACGCCGTAGATATAGATACATATACATATAGACGGGTAGATTGGAGGATCTATACATATTTTGTAGCACGATGGTGGGACGAGTTTGGTCGGGTAGGCTATTTCTATCGAACTGTGTATGTGTCATATGCACTTTGAGGTAGCATTAGAATATATTCATAGAGTATCCACTATCAACCATCCATCGTCACATCCTCCTCCTCCTCCTCCTCGTCCGTATCCGGCTCAATGTTCAGCATAGGAATCTCATCGTCGCTGTCGCCGTCGCCTGCCTCCGCGGCAGCTACTGCCGGCCCGGACATCGAAACGTCCGCACCAGCTGTAGCTGCGTTCACGGTGCTCGTCGGCATCGGCGCAGAGGCAGCCGTGATAGAGGCCGTCGGGATAGAGATAGCCGCCGTGGCCGTGAACGAAGCAGGAGAGGCCGTGCCGAGGGCGGGTTGGGCCGAAACAGCTTCGGTATCAAGCCGGGCTTTCTTCTTTTGCACATCATCGGGTTTCTCGTCTGTCAGACTGGCCGCTGGCGCGGCTGGGAACCCAGGCTTGGTTTCCTCGGGCAGACTCCGCTTGTGCATGGGCGGTGCGGGTTCCTTTACTGCTTCGGCGGTGCGCAGGTTGCTCTGGATAGTCGGGGTGGCGGTTGGTCTGAGGAAGCCGGTAAGTTCGGGGGCGACGTGCTGCACAGCGGCGGTGGTCTGCTCCTCTTGTTCTTCGTCCTCGTCCTCGTCGACCATGCTGCCGTACCCGCTGATACCGGGTGCGTGCATCAGAACGGGCATTCTGGGTCTGATCAGTCCCTCGACCTCCATCTCGGTGGAATAGCATCGCGCCAGGAAGGGCATGATGCTGGAGCCCGTGCCGCGGCCTTTCATGGCCGGGACGGGATTAAGCACGCTTGCCAGCATTCCGGTCTTGTCTGAGGTGAGGATGACCGTCCGATCGATTTCGGCGCGGAGAGAGGTGGGGAGGAACTCGATGGGCACAAAAGTCAGGACGACTGGGAGGAGATCGGATGCGGCTCGCTTCAGGTTGGGAAACGTGGTTGAAGTTTGTGTTTGCCGACTCTGTTTGGAGGCCGGGTGCAAGAACGAGTCGGCGTTGACTGTGGCCTGGTTCGTCTTTGCCTTGCGCTTGGGATCTGACGCCGCGGAGGGAACTGAGTCACCGGTTGGTGGTAAGATGTCAGAGCAACAGGACCGGACGACGTCTGTCAATGACGAAATGTTCTTTTTCGTCGTTGACGGTCCCATAAGTGGGAGTAAAGCGTGGACGAGATCATATACAGAGGCACGGACATCCTTGTTGAATTTCTCTGCCCGGAAAACCCAGAGGGCGTGCTCCAAGATCGTCTGCGCTACTGGGACGACGCCCGTCTCCAGAGCATCCACGGCGCTCAGAAGTAGTTGCATGCTCACAGCGTGGATACGAGGTAGTTCAGCCCAGAGGCCGTCCCTTTCCTCCCGGCCAATCTGTAAGTTGACAGGCATATCTGCACCCGGTGCGGGAACAGTGATCGCACTCAGTCGGGATGTCAGATCCAAAATCAAGCCCAGTGGAATTGTCACTGCGGATGCCGTCGGCGCTGTCAAAAACCGGGATAGCAAGCGTAAGAGTACCGTCAATCTTTCCACTCCAGCATGAATGCCCTCCCAGCCGGGAAGTCCTAGCGCATCTGGCCCAGCATCAGCCACCACCTGGCTGTAGTCCTGTGGCTGGGCGCCTTGCCTCAAGGTCGCATCGACAGACTCCCACTGTTCCACTACCCCTCTCAAAACATAGTCCGCAGTCCTGTGAGCCGAAGAGATTGTCATTCGGCAGGCGTTCTTCCATTCCTCTGCGGAGGTGTTCTTGGGAGCGCAATTGTGGAGCGCGATGAACAACTGCTCCGCTAGGTCCACCGTTGCGCCGGGAAACGTCGGAGAGGTTGCACCAATGATCTCCTGGAGGATGCTGTGAATCTGCGCAGAAAATGGACGAAATATCGTTGGGTGTCTTGCGATGAGCTCCAGGAAAGCGCTCAGGACAATCTCCAAGAACGGCGTACTGGGCTTCAACTTTCTGACGGGCTCGGAGGCCGGCTTGACCGAGATGAGGTTCAACGATGAAGTGATGAACCCCGGTAGTGACGGCGTCGTTATTTCGCGAACAAGAGTGGGGTATTGGTAGGTAAGACGAAAGATTCGTGTCAAAGTGATTATGCACATTTTCTTTGTGGAGATGGGATCCGGTTTCTGCGCAAATAAGAATTAGCGATTGACCTGGCTAGTCAGTGACCGACTCGACGACTTACAGCCAAAATCGCAACGAGATTGCGCACAAGCGGTTCGCATCCGCGAAGCACTTCCCACTGGCCAGCTTCCACCGTCGCCTTTACCAGAACAACCGCAGTCCATCGCCCCTCAAAGCTCCTATCCTGCAGCAAACTGGCCAATCGAGTTTTGAGCTTATGAATCTGCACAGCATTGTCAGATTCGGACTTGCCCGTCTTCTGATTCTGCGTCGCAGACAGGAGCTCCCCGCAATCGCTCAATGATGTTGCCAGGAATGATGCGATCTGAGGCAATTGATCGACAGGCGTGGTCGTCAAGCGATGCGTCACAGCACGCAGAGTAGTGGATGCCATCTTGCGCACCTGGTGACCTGAGCTTCTCGCAGGCTCCTTCAGTTTCAATGTCGTCACTCCGAGGTTTGCTCTTATCAAAAAGGGAATTACAAAATTTTGTGGTAGCAGAAAAAATAAAGCTCGGGCCACATGAAGCCTCGGTACGTGACGGTACAATACGCTTGTAAATTACGCCGGTGCGGGTCTCCCCTGGCTGATGATGTTTATCTCCATCGGCTTGGGTTGGACTGTTGGGGGGAACATTCTCATTTCTTATCCTGTGATTCTATGGCAGAGTAGCCTCGGGGTTGGGCATGGATAATGGATGATATTCTTACTGCCCTCCAAAGTCGTTGCAGCTCTTCTCCATCTTCAAGCGTACCTCCATTATGACGGTGAGTGCGGCCTTCCCCAAGTTTCAACTGCCAGGCAACGTGGTCCCCTCCACATTTGAACAGCCTACGGTGCCTGGATATCACATCATTGACGCTGAATGTAGGGTCAGGTCTCTGAGAAGGGCCATCGCTACACTGTGGCCTTGGACAGTGCGCGATGCCAGAACAAATGGGATGAAGTCCCCGAGCTTATTCGGAAGGTGACCAAACATGCGCCTCAAAAGACATGTATTACTGGCCTCCCTTGCTTTCCTTGCTTGCTAGACGTCTCAGATGCTGATTTTCCATTTCCCTTATGATAGGTTTCCTGCAGGTCGCCTCAGCAGAATCTCGGATTGCCCAATACAACCAGAAAAGACCGTCGACTGCTCAATCATCCTCTAGCTCCTCGTCTTCCTTGCCCGAATTAATACCCCCGCTGCTATCCACTGTTGAAAACAGAGATGGCTCTCCAGAAGAGATCTTCCAAGCTCAAGTCTGCCTTGGTTGGCTCCATTGGTCCCTCAGTGAACCGGGCCTGGCAGCAGCTCATCTGCCGAGGGACTTCGGGGAGGTAGCAGACCAATTGGGGGAAAACATCTCCCCATGGACGGAGGTCTGCCTGGTCAAGGGCTGCTACATGAAAGGTGGGCCAGTTGGTACTCTGTGCGCTCATCTTCTTGGTCTGACATGCGTATAGGAGCTGCCCAGGCAATGGTATCTGAGCCCCATGACGCGCTGAAGATACTCGAAACACTTACACCATGGCTGAGTAGCCATAGCACATCCCTCTCCTCGAAATGCTCGCAATTCTTACATTGGTCGGAGAAATTGCTAGGAAAGGCTGCATCTATTGCCAGCGAAGAGGCTGTCAAAAGGACACCCTCTGGGGATTCTGAGCTCATTAAGACAGCTTTGAAGCTATGTAGGCTGTGGTCTGCCCATCCCTACGTCAAACAGCATTCGTCTGCGCAGCCTGTACATCCCGAGGGACCGAGTGAACCTGCCGCGAAATCAGCAACCTGGAAAGCGTACTACGACCTCTTGACCGCCATTCTTCAGAATGGGTTGTTGTACGTTTCCCCGACGAGCGGTCCCGACCGTCCCCAACTCGCCAGCGAGACTCGGCGTGTGGAGACGATCTATGAGACCAACCTTCTGCGTGAAGTGAAATTTCCCATGGCCAACAGTCGGAATGAGCAAATTGAGGATTGGGTCGAGCAAGTGATCCGCAATTGGCAAGAACTATGTGGACCGAATTGGACCGACGAAGACCTGGGTGAAGGCGGCCAAAACGCTGTTGGCCGCAATGTTCTTGATGTACGTGCTTTACCCGGCTAAACTCATGCAGCCTGGGACATATTGACCAACATAACCTTAGATTCTTTATCGCGCCGCTGCAAAAACCTACCACTCTTACTTGATTCTCCGTCGCCTATTCCATGTCCATTCAGCTCTGGCGGATTTCGATCTCGCTGTCAAAGCACTCGATTCTTACATTGAGATTGTCCTTGGGGCCAAAGCAAGGGCGGAGAAAGCGGCACAGTATGGTGAATTAGAAAGCGACGAGAATTTGATCCAGACGCTTGCAGAAGGAGTAACTATGCTTGTTTGTTTTGGTTCAGATAAGGAGGCTGAAAAGGCGAAAGACTTGGTTGCAATCTTGAAAAAGTTCGTCGCTAAGCACGTGCAAGAAATTGAAGACGACGGGGAGGAAGGAAAGCTCGTCATCCGGCAAGATTCGGCCGATGCGCAGGTGGTGTCTCCTCGTGTCATCGCCACTGCTTACAGAGCAATCGGGACGGGGCTTGCCAACTGGGCCAGTTGGACGCCCAGAAATGAAGACCGGGATGATATCCGTGCGGAGGCCAACGAGAATCTAGAAAGAAGCATTGCTCCAGAGCTCGGTGATGAGTTTAATTATTCATCTTTGTATACTCTCGCCCTCTTGCTCGCGGAAAGCCGAGACCTGGATGGTGCCATCGGTTATGTCAAATCGGCTCTGTCCTATACGCAAGCACACGGCCCACAGTCCGATTTGTCCAGAGAGCGAGACCTGGTGCCCCTTTGGCATTTACTCGCACTCTTGCTCAGTGCCAAACAAGACTATGACATTGCTGAGCGCTCCTGTGAAGCTGCATTCGAACAATTTCCCAGCGCCGTCATATCGTTGGTCAACGGTAGCAGAGGGTCGCAAAAGCAAGGTCAAGACACTAGAGACGCCTCAAATGATACCGAGATACGGCATGCTTTGATCGATCACCTGCGGGGCCGAGAAAAGGAGCGCATCATCGAGACACGCATGACACAATTAGCGTTCATTGAGCTCCAGGAGGGCCCCGAGGCTGCTGTTAACCACAGCGATCAACTACTCAGCCTTTTTGCAACGCTTTTCAACAAACTGGAGCTTCAGGCTGATGAGCAGAAGGACCGTCAAACAGAGCATCTCGTTCCACCGAAAAGCGCCGCTGGTACAGTAAAGAGTCTACGAGGAAGTATATTTGGCAGACATAAAGCCTCACGCGCTTCCGAACGTAAAGCCGAATCTACCAGTGAAACGCAGCCTCTCAGCACCAGCTCTTCGGTACACAACGAGCAAGTGCCCAGCACCGATCTTGCGCCCGCAATCCAAGTTACTCACGAGCAGAATGGGAATGCTGAGAATCCACAACCGCTGGGCAGATCAGATTCGACGCGGCAAAAATTGCGGAAGCGCAGCGGTACTCTTAAAAAGCCCGAAGGTCAAAGCTCGACTCATGTAAATGGCACCGAAGATCTGACCAACGGAGTCAGCGCAGCTACCAACGGGACTGGGATGCCGCAGCAACCAGGTAGCGGAGAAGGCGTCGCTCAAGATGCTGTCGGCCTTGCGGTATCAAGCACCACAAACCAACCACAGAGCGCGAAGCAGCCTCTGCGACCCGCCGCTCATAACATGGATCTCAAACAAGCGCCTCCTCCGACGGGTCATCCCAAACAACCACCTGAGCAAGACATTCGATTACCATATAGCTTTGACTCACCGACAAGAGCGATTACCAAATTCCCCCCTGTCCAATCGCAAAAACAGGCTCTTGCTGTCCTGATCAAGATTTGGCTCCTGATCGCGGGCCTCTATCGACGCGCTTCGCTATTTGAGGATGCGCAAGAGGCGTGCGAAGAGGCCGCCAAACACGTTGACCGGGTGGAGGCTCTTGTTGCTGCCCAGGAATCCTCTGCTAGAGCATTTAGAAGCCGTGGTTGGGCTGCAGCAAAAAGCTCTGACGAGCTCTGGGCCGACCTCCACACCGAACAGGGGCTCTTGGCACAAGCTCAATCCCGCCCTCATGACGCAATGGAGCTCTTCGAAGAAGCGTTGGTGCGTGATGCGGATCATGTCAAAGCGACGGTCTGCCTGGCGGATCTACTCCTCGACATCTGGGAGAGGAAGATGCCTGTGGACCGACCAGATGCTGATGATCTTCATGCGGAGATGTCAACGCTATACCTACCGGCTACCGCTCAGAAGTCCAGTGCTACCTTGAACAAGATTCAAAATAAGGATTTTGACAATTTAGAGGATTGGCCAATGCCATCAAAACGACAGATTCCTGCAACTGACGCTGAGGAGGATGAACCTAAACTGCTCAACCGTATCGCTGCCCGGGACCGAGCCTACGCCCTCTTGTCGGCATTGACAAAACGTGGCACCGCCTGGGATAACTCTGAGGCTTGGTATGCGCTCTCCCGCGCTCACGAGGCAAGCGGGGATATCGAAAAGTTGAAGGAGGTTTTGTGGTGGTGCGTTGAGCTTGAAGATCGACGACCAATTCGACATTGGTCAAATATAGGCTCCGGCCTCTATGTCCTTTAACACCAGGATACCTCTTGTCTAGTTTGTCCGAGAGCCATTTGTTGTGATATTTCTTGGCTACAAAAATACTTTCATGATATCCTCTTGTTGATAATTATGGACATATAGCGTCTGACTGTCAGGCGAGAAGCAGGAATTTAACTGAATCCTTTTGATAAAATCGAATAGAACATCTTTATTTACACATCCCCAACCACAGAGCTAATGGCTATAGGGTCAAAGAAACCAAACAAAGCTTGCGCCAGCCATGCCTGATCTCCACTTCTATCATCTCGTCAAATTCCATCTACCGAGGAGCGGCAACTGGGGTCCAAGCGGAGTACTTGGGCTTCACACTTTATTGAAAATGGAGTTAGTGATTGCGCATTGGAAGGAGGGTCTCATAGCGGACAATTCAGGTCCGAGGAGGAGGGAAACTCCCATAAGGGGGGATACTAACGTCGAATAGGTCTTGTAAGCGCCGCGGCTGAGAGTCAGGTTAGGCCGGTGCTCAGGCAATTCCCAAGCGCGGAGGCCAGTCTGCAAGATCTTGTCTTGGGTTGGAGGCGCATCCACCATGTAAGACAGCCAGGCGTGCCTGAACAACACATTGATTTAGCGTTGTTATTTCTGAACAATTGCATTGATGATTCGGGATATCTCACCAGCCAGGCTCGATCTGCGAGGCGTCATATTCCTTCTCCCTGTAATCGACCCATCTTGTCCGCACTGTCACGGCTATTAGCAGCAACCCATTGACAACTTGCTCGCATCACTCACGAGGGAGCTCCTCCTCCATGTTTTCGTAGTACTTATTGCCGTAGCGGTCGGTAGCGATCAAGGTGCCAGCTTTGGTATCACCTATAAATTGTGATTGCGTTAGTCACTTGTCGCGGCCGATAATTGCGGGTAAGCCATACCGATGTACTGTCATAAAGTGAAGCCGAAGAGGCAAAAGAGTAAGTCATCATCCAAACAAAACATCCTGTCTGATCATGGACTCCCTCCATCGCATGTTCGGATACCGTACCTGCATCTGGTGTCCATATTCCTGTGCAGGGTTAAAGAGATTAGCACAAAGGTTCCGAGCCTCCGAGTCTGATCCGAAGACCAACCTTGAATCCAATCCTCCTCAGATTCCGCAATGTACGAAGTATGGTCGACATCTTGAGAGCGATATACAGCGATTGAGCTGGTTGGCAGTCTGCAAAGCTGAGGTTCGTTTGAGATAGGGAAGCGGGCAGCCCGTCACGACGGAGGTGAAAGAGTCTCCCGATGCGGTTTAGTGCGTAATTTGTTTGCACTGTTTGCCCTCTATCATCGAAGTGACGACGAAGTGTCTAATCGCGATTCCGTCGTTTGCGAACACGTCGATCTCAATGGAGACTTGGTATTGATTTTGCAACCTCTTGTCGGTCGGGTAGACAGGAAGATCCGTATAGGATGTTTCAACGCATCGGAGGCAACGCTCTGCGATGCACCGGGCGCAGGCCGATTGCTCGGAGAAGGCTTTATGACCGCAAATTCTCCGCCTATACAACAAACGCCAGCACGGTTGCGCCCTCCACTGCCTCTCCTTTGGGTGCAATTACGGTTGAATTGGATCGAGTGGCGCCTCGGTTTGAGGTTCCAGCTTCCAAAGTTACTATTTTAGATTCCCCTGCAAGTTTCTATAGCACTCTCAAGGTAAGGAGGAATGGGGCAATCAATGAAGACCAGTGTCTTTTGTTAACTACTTGGACTATAGGATAAGATACGGAATGCCAAAAAACGCATCTACCTCTCTACTTTATACATAGGCAAAGCGGAACATGAGCTTATCGAAACCATAAACCAGGCGCTTCGGGATAATCCCAAGCTCAAAGTATCCATCCTCACCGATGCCCTACGAGGGACTCGGGAGACTCCAAATCCTTCTTGCGCTTCTCTCCTAGCATCTCTGGTTGCTGAACATGGACCAGATAGGGTTGATATTCGGATGTTCCACACGCCCAATCTGACGGGACTGAGAAAGAAATGGATTCCTCGGAGGATCAACGAGGGCTGGGGCCTTCAGCACATGAAGCTGTATGGCTTTGATGATGAGATTATTCTCTCTGGGTACGAGGATCTGAGACACAAATGCATAACGATGAGCTGATGATGAATTCTATAGAGCGAACCTCTCGGAAGATTATTTCACCAATCGTCTGGATAGGTACCATGTCTTCCAGGACAAAGAACTGGCCGATTACTATGCGGGAATACATGACGCTGTGTGCAGCCTCAGCTTTCAGGTTCTACCGGATCCACATAATGCTTCGGGATACCTCCTGGATTGGCCGACGTCCAACGGCGCCCCTTGTCCCTTGGATGAGCCGGAAGAATTCATTTCCTATTCAACAACTGTCTTGCACCCCCTCATCCAGCCTCCCTCTAAAACCAAGCCAGCGCCTGAATGGAGTTCGTCGAGTCAAACACTCGTATACCCTGTGGCTCAGTTCACTCCGCTGTTGAAGCCTGATACGTCTACGGAGTTCCCCGCGGTTACCGCTATTTTGCGCCTTCTTTCTACTTCACATGTCTTCTCTGGTGCCCGCTGGCTCTTCACCGCTGGCTACTTCAACATACATCCGGTCCTTTCTTCTCTCCTCATAGCAAGCACGTCCACCTCTCACACCGCCTCGACTACCCGAGGTACCGTGCTTACTGCTTCCCCGTGGGCGAATGGATTCTATGGCTCTCCGGGAGTTTCTGGCATGCTCCCTGCCGCCTATACACATCTTTCAGCCAAGTTTCTAGACCGAGTCGCAGAGGCACAGCGCACAAACTCCATCCAGCTCAAAGAATGGCGACGCGGGACCGTCGGGGAACCAGGAGGTTGGACTTATCACGCCAAGGGGTTGTGGATAACTCTGCCCAAGGAAGAACACCCCAGCATGACATTTGTCGGAAGCAGCAACTACACGAAGCGGAGCTACAGCCTGGATTTGGAAGTCGGCGCGCTGGTCGTGACCAATGACCAGGAATTGAAACGGAAATTGGGGGCTGAGACCGATTGGTTGCAAAAAGATTCTCAAGCCATCTCGCGCGAGGATCTACGGCGGACCGAAAGACGAGTCTCTTGGAAGGTACGATTGGCGATGTGGATCGTTGAAAAGGTTGGGGGTGCTCTATAATTTGCGTCCTCCTGGAGAGGATCTTTCTGCGCCTGAGAAGATTTATGATGTTGTATCTTGGAATGGATGAATCCATATACCCATGTATTATAGAGTCACTTGTATATATAGGTGGAGAAGGAAAAACCTCCAATTGGCAGACTTGTACAGACTTCTAGCCCTTCATTGCGATGAACATTCAACTACTGCCTCCAATATGAGCGTATATTAGACGCAAAGGAAACGCATCATACTTCATTCATGAAATAACGTGTGGATATGGTCTAAAAAATGGACCCGAAACGCCCAATGCCAAAGCTTTTAGCTGGAGAAAATGAAAATGCATCGTCGCAGTTCGTTTAAGGAGAATTATGCCCGGCCAGAAACCTTTCCTGGCACTCTAGCGGGCCCGAGACCCTGTCGGATCTCCTCCAACATCTTGATTCCAATGGCCTCGTTGCCGTTTTTGCCTCTCTTGGCCTTGGCGCCCTTACGCTTTGCCTGGGCGCTCGTCTTATCATCCCACCCGGCAAGGAAGTCGTCCATGACCTCATTGAAGATGTGTCGCGGGGCTACCTCGCGCCCATTGGCGTCAATGAGGCTAGGCGCTTGCGATGAAGCGGTGGAGATGCCGGTCACTCCAGTCATGCCAGTCATGCCACTGACCATGGACATGTTATCGTCGTACTCCTCGCCTTCCTCGTCGAGGGCATAGAGCGCCTCTATCCTGTCGAATCGGTCGTCAAAGAGTCGGTGGCCTTCGGTACGGGCCAAAGCAGACGACGTCATAGAGTACGCGGAGGGATTGGTAAGTGCGCCCTTGCGCTTCTTTCTGCGAATCGGCGTGCCCCCGACGGTGAAGATGGTGGAAGCGAGAGTGCTGCGCTGCTCCGAAGGGACGATGCTTGGCGGTGCTACTGGCGCGGCTTTCACTTTTGCGTCCTTCTTGAACTTAGCGAACTCGCGCATCCATCCCTGGTCGTCGGGGTTCATGTCTGGAGCCGGTGCGTCGTGGCTTGGCAGTTCTCCAGGCTCCTGGTCATCTGATTTTGGAGGGAGAGGGACGCCGCCGTGGTCCGCTTTGGCCTCCGTAGTGTCCATCTGCACGGGTGCTTTTTCTGTCGCATCAGACTCCCAGCCGTCGTCTTCGTCTTCTTCGTCAAACAGTGTATCCTCCCAGTCGCCTGCATCCAGCTCCTCCGCATGGTTGGTCAATTTGCCAAAGACATCCTCCTCATCATCCGGATCGACATATTCTTCGTCCTCAAGCGCCTCGAGCACTTCACGAAGTCGGGGATCCATGTCAGGCTGGAAACCTGCAATCGCATCGGGGACATTTTGTTGGTCCTGGTACGTCGGTTTGCGAGAGTATGTTGAAGTGGTTGAGCGCAGGTCCGAAGTATATTCAGATCCGTAGACACTGCCGGCGCCAAACTCGCTCCTCGTATCATCCAGAGTCATTTGTTGCTTCAGGGCATCTTCCAGCTTCATCCCCTTGGCCTTGCTCTTTCCCTTGCTCGTAGCCTCCACAAAGTACGACTCGCCGCCACCTGTTCCCAGCTCCCGCAGATGCTGCATGTAGTCATATTTCGAGTCATCGAAGTAAATGCCATAGTTCGCAGCCTCGCCCTCATTGTGCCGAACGGAGACTGATCCAAATTCGCTGGTCAGATCCGAAAGATTTTTGCTGCGCTTCGGGCCTTCTGAGATTGGAAGCGACGGCCCTGAAACAGGATGCAAGACACGATCGTCGGCTTCGGGGTCGTGAATCAAAGGATCATTTTGAGATCGGTGAAAGAGCTGGTATGTGGTGGCATTTTTCTTATCACTGTTGCCCTAGAATTAGTCTGGTTGCCGGCGAGCATCAAATGGAACGGATCCGTCAACGTACATCCACTGCTTGCGAGGAGGCATCTTGTTGGTCTGATGATTATCAACGCCCTAAAATCCTGACTGTCTAATCTGCTCTGTCTCTGCCTATCTCCAAGTCTCTTCGGAGACCAAAAAATCAAAATTTCGCGATAGTGGGATGTTATCGAATCACGTGCTCCCTTATCAACAAGGTCATGCCTTGGGCAGAAACATCGCTGTCACCACTAGTACACTTTGATGTCTGCAGAGTTGCCAAAGGCTACTTGGGATGTGTGAAAGCCAGTAATAGCTTGACCAACAGGCGTTCTAGTCCTGAATTTCCCTTTTCCTTCGGCAATTGTTCTTGTTTGTCGCAACGATTCTCGATGCTGGATGACTCAGCATCTTATCTTATCCACGCGGGGCTTTTCTTTTCTCTCTGGAAATCTTCAACCATCATTAATAATACCACTTTCCTTCCTTTTCCTTTGCCTCCGAGGATTAACACTTCCTTTCTTTCCCTCTGGATACGGCCTCTCTCTATTTTTATAAGGCAAAGAATTTCATTCCAATAGTGGTGGAAGTCAGCGGATTGAGCTGCACACATCGCCACCATGGTTCTCGCAAAATCCAAAAATTCCGTCGGGTTGGGAAACACCCTCATGAAGGATCGGTTCGGCAAGGGCAAAGCATCGAACCAGAAGAAAGTATCACATAACACTGCTATTACTCGTACCGCGCAGGATGGCAGTACTTATGTCACCAATGCTGCCAAAGAAGCGGCGTGGGTGAAGATGCGCAGTATCACGGAGCAAGCCGCCCTCGATGAATTTCTCAGCACCGCCGAACTGGCGGGCACCGACTTTACTGCGGAGAAGATGAGCAACATCAAGATTATTCACTCTGATCAAAAGAACCCTTTCCTTCTTTCCGCGTCAGAGGAGAAGTCGGCGAGGAAGAAGCATCAGCAGAATAAGGGCCGCTTGACCGTGCCGAGAAGACCGAAATGGGATTCCACGACGACCAGGGATCAGCTGGAGACGATGGAGAGGGAGAGTTTTCTGGAGTGGCGAAGAGGACTTGCGGAGCTTCAGGAGAACAACGATCTTCTGATGACACCCTTTGAGCGGAACTTGGAGGTCTGGCGCCAGCTGTGGCGAGTCATTGAACGTTCGGACGTGGTTGTACAGATTGTCGATGCTCGGAATCCATTGATGTTTCGCTCGGAGGATCTCGAAAACTATGTGAAGGAGATCGACCCCAAGAAGCAGAACCTTTTGCTTGTCAACAAGGCGGATATGCTCACTGAGAAACAACGAGAGACGTGGGCTGATTACTTTGAACGCAACAATATCAACTTCCGATTCTTTTCGGCTCATCTGGCCAAGGAGCGGAACGAGGCCCGGCTTCTGGCCGAAGAATCAGGCAGTGAGAGCGAGGAAGAGGACGCCGATGATCTCGCCAATGCGACAAGTTCGATGAACATCAATGATCAACAAGATGCCAAGGATGCATCAGCTGAAGGAGATGGCCAAACCGAGCACGATGGAGGACTCAAGCTTCCCGAATACCGCAAACCTCGGAGGACGGATATTCTCGATGTGGAGGAGCTGGAAGAACTTTTCCTGTCCAACACCCCGGACACACTTCCGGATAATGACAATGGCGAGGGCCAGCGCAAGCAGAAGACAACAATTGGTCTGGTCGGTTACCCCAATGTCGGCAAGTCCAGTACCATCAACGCCCTCCTAGGAGCAAAGAAGGTATCTGTCTCCGCTACTCCTGGAAAGACGAAACACTTCCAGACACTCTACCTGTCGCCGGAGATCATGCTCTGCGACTGCCCCGGTTTGGTCTTCCCCAACTTCGCAACAACCAAGGCGGAACTGGTGGTGAATGGTGTCCTCCCCATCGACCAGCAGCGCGAGTTCACTGGTCCAGCTGGTCTGGTCGCGCAGCGTATCCCCAAGCACTTCCTGGAGGATGTCTACGGCGTGAAAATTAACACTCGGCCGCTGGAAGAAGGCGGCACGGGCATCCCCAGCGCCCATGATCTTCTGCGAGCCTACGCCAGAGCTCGTGGTTTCGCTACCACCGGCCAAGGTCAGCCCGACGAGTCGCGCGCGGCCCGCTACGTGCTAAAGGACTACGTCAACGGCAAAATTCTCTTCTGCCACCCGCCCCCCGTCCCAGAGGGTGAAGAGCCCATCGACCCGCTCGAGTACAACCGCGAGCTCTACGACACCGCCCATCTCCCGGCCCGCCGACAAGCAATGCTCGCCAGAACCGCCCAGGCCGACGCAGGCGGCGAGGAATTCGATGACGACGCGGAACTTTTGTCGCTCGGCTCATCCTCCAAACAAGGCCAGGCCGTCGAGGGGCCGCGGTCGCGGAATCTCGACACGGGTTTCTTCGGCCCCGGCGCGAAGGGCTCAGCCGGACGGCTCACTCTGCCTTTTAACGCCCAATACACCGAGCAAGGCCAGCAGATTCGAAAGCAGCTGACCGGCCGCAAGGAGAGACTGATGGTTGCGCTGGAACGAGGGGTGGATGTGTCGGAGGTGCGCGGCAACTCGAAGAAGCACTTCAAGGGCAACAAGAAGAGGGCGAAGGCGAAGCGCACGAAAGCGGAAGATGACGACTACTGAAAGGTTATGGCAACTCGCTGGCGAGTGATGCATTTGCTGTGATTGTTCGGTTTCTGTCTCATGCCTCTGGTGGGTAGGCGGGGGATACCATGGGATGGGTTTATACCTTAGATGAATTGCATCATCTAGCGAAAAGTAGTAACATGATTTGACTTTAGATACCGGAGTTAGATGCTCTATTTACTGATTATTACGTGCAGCCTTGTAGTACAATAATCCAAGAATTGGTATTGGTATAGAAAGGAGACATTCTCATTGTCCTGCATACTATTTTTGTCCGATTATTTTATATCTAAGCCCGCCAGCTCATCACAGATGACTCTTGGGCTTCTGGAATCCACTAGCCAATAGCAACCGCTCCGCCTCCTCCTTCTGGTACTTCAGCTTGGCGACAATTGCGTCCTGGCGCGACTTGTTCTCGCGTCTACCAAGCTGCTGCAGGTGGACCTCATCGGGTCCGTCGGCGATGCGCAGGGTCCGGATCATGGCCCAGAGGTTGGCCAGGGGCGTATCCTGGCAGACACCGGCGGCGCCGTAGGCCTGGACGGCGCGGTCGATGACGGTCAGGGCGGTCTGGGGGACGAGGACCTTGGCCTGGGCGATCTCCTTGAGGGCGGACTTGGCGTCGCCCTGGTCGATCTTGATGGCGGCGTTGAGAACAATGAGGCGGGCGGCGTCGATCTCAATGCGGGACTTGGCGATCCACTCGAGGATGACGCCGTGGGCGGACAGCGGCTTGCCGAAGGTCTTCTTGCGGTCGTCATTGACGCGGGCGATGAGCCACTCGAGGGCCTTTTCGGCGGCGCCAATGGTGCGCATCGCGTGGTGGATGCGGCCGGGACCCAGGCGGCCCTGGATGATCTCGAAGCCGCGACCCTCGCCCAGGACCATGTTCGAGACGGGCACGCGCACGTTGCTGAAGGTGATGTGGCCGTGGCCGTGCGGGGCGTCGTCGTAGCCGTATACGGTCAGCATCCGGTGCACGGTGATGCCGGGAAGGCCGGCGGGCACGAGGATGACGGACTGCTGGCGGTAGGGGTCTGGGTTGGTCGGGTCGGACTTGCCCATGACCAGGTAGATCGCGCAACGGGGGTCACCGGCGCCGGACGACCACCATTTCTATTGAGAATTGGTCAGGATGAAAGTGCTTTATGGAGAGGCGATTGCAACGTCTACATACCGACCCGTTAAGAACGAACTCATTGCCTTCGCGCCGGATGTTCAGCTCAATGTTTGTGGCATCACTCGAGGCAACATCAGGCTCGGTCATGAGAAAAGCAGAGCGGATCTTGCCGTCGAGCAGAGGAGCAAGCCACTGCTTCTTCTGCGCTTCATTGCCATACTTGGCCAGCACCTCCATGTTACCGGTGTCAGGGGCAGAGTTATTCGTCGCCTGAAGAATCACCCGTCAGCACCCCAATCGTCACTCTTTGCAAGTATCTGACCCGAGTCACCCACCTCAGAAGCAAGCTTGCTCTTGCCGAGATACTCAGCCATCAGACCATACTCCAGGTTACTGAACCCGGCACCCTGAGAGAAGTGGTTCTTGGGCAGGAACATGTTCCACAGGCCCAGCTTCCGGGCCTTGGCTTTGAGCTCCTCTAGCACAGCCGGGGTAGTCTGCCATCTCTTCTCGCCTTCACCGAGCTGGGCATGGAATAGAGCATCGGCGGGGATGCAGTCTTTCTCGACGAATTCTTCAACCTGAGCGCCGCGGAAAGTATTAGCATAGTTGTATCTGGGGGTTGAAATGGAAGAGCCAACATACCAGGTCGAGGACCTTCTTTGCCCGATTGCTCACAAAGGGCTGAGCGATGGGGGGAATTCTTGTGGAGGCGGACATGTTGTGTATGTGGGGGATCAACGAGAGAAGAAAATCTAGCAAGATACTGTGGATTAGAAAATCGAGAATCTGGACAGAATAAGCAGGGCAAAGAGACGATTATAAAGCTGAGCAAGAGTGTGAAACCGTCCGATGGTCGAGATGGAGCTGATTGCGGAGTACTCGCAGTTTGCGGAGAAGCAGCCGAGAACTGCTTTTGAACCTCGGCTGACCCGCTGTTCTCACCGTCTGGATGCTGCAGACTCAGACAGCGACGGTGCTACGCGGGAGATGGAAGCAACATCTAGTGATGAACTGAAAGTCTATTTGACAACCGATAGTTGTAAGATATTACGATATCAAGGGGTTGCAGCATGGATGGTTGATCCGAGGTTCTATCGGTTTACCGAACATTCCCAAACCGAGAGGGAAATGAATCCATAGACCGACACCGACCATCAGTATCAAAGACAGCGACGTGATTTCATTATTTTCCCAAGCTACCATTATGGATCATCGATACAGAGACAAAAGACCAAAAAAGAGACACAAGTCCATTCCCAATTCCTCTATTATCCCACATAATCTCCGTATGAACCCCAGACCAGGAAAACCAAACAACCCAGAAACCCAAAGATAACAGTGTCAGCCTTACCATGTCATCCAATCGTAACCACGCAGGCACTGCCCATGGTTATCGAAAGATGGTAGATGCCCGAAGCAGAGGACTCGAGAAAGAGGCGGTCATGCTATGTATGCTCACCTTTTACCTCACAACGATGCGACCAGCGCACAAGCATGAGGAAAAGGCGGAATATGCAACGTCTTGCCCTCTGCTCTGCATACTATCGAGTGATTGACCAAGTCTAGGCCGTACTGTCATCTTCAAGGTTCTTGTTGTTATGTTCCGCCGTGTTCTGCTCAAAGTTCTTCTTGCCAAGCTTGGCGAAGAGCGATTGAGGCTTTCCAGCACTGCGCAAATGCAGTTAGCATCTTCTTCAAAGGAAAATCTGATAATATTCCGACTCAAGTAGGTGACATACTTCTTGAACCGCTTCCCCTTGAGATCACTCAGCTTCTTCGAGCAGGGACTCATGATATCATCCGACGGAGAAACATAGCTCGCTTGGTTTCTGTTCGCAATTTACAGTCAGATATGTTCTGCTAATCTCCCCTTCAACTGGATAAGATGCACGATTTATGACCAGGACAGAGTTTTCTGCCCGTCGCATCTCTCCAGAGTAATCGGATCTCAAGCACTTTGGGGAAAACTCACTTATCTTCATTCTGCAGTTTACCCTGCAGGACCGACCGATGGTATTCTATTGAGTCCAACTTCTCCGATGCCGACTTGAGATCGTTCACTTTGTCCTGGTTGGCAGCGAGATGGGTGTTTGTTGACCGGTCGGCCAGAGGGGCGGTGGGTGTGGAGTCCATTGTATACAAAGTGGTGGATTTTTCAGACGTGCGTTCAGCGTTCTTGTTCGTATTCACAGAGAGCTTTCAGCACGAGATTATAAGCCTGTCCTGAGTGGAGAGCGTGGAGATGATTGTAATGGATGAGAAATATGTAGAATGAATGCAGAATGACCTTGGATGGAGGAAGCGATGGATAAGCAGAGAAAGAAAAACCGTGCCGATTGTTGTCATGGCAACTACATGTGCCACTGGGAACTCTGACGCTGCTATGCTTGACATCATATGCACAGAAACGAGAAGGCTTGAGAATAAGTAAATAATAATTGGATAGCGATATGTCAGGCAAGTCATCGTCTGTCATTCAAATCATAATCATAGTGGTATCTAAACATACATATAAACATAGACAGAATGATATCGAGTACAATTGTACAACCGCCCCTGTCCTACACAGATAAAACGAAAATATAATGGTCATCCACTGCTTCATCTGTTGTTTTACAGCAGTGAGTACAGAGAACTGTTGCAGCATAAAATCAAGGAGTCATGAAGGCTAGCGTTCCCCAGTCAACGTCACTTGGTTGATTCCGTGCAAGGCCTGGTGACAAAGAGCCGGATTAGCGTTCAGCTGAACCCGAGAACTCAGCTTGTAAGCCAGCGCCTCAGGAATGGCAGGAATTAGCATTCCGGGCCGCCGAGATCTGCAACAAAGACTGTTTATGACTCTGTACCCGCCCATTGCCCGAGTGACAGCCGTTCGTCCCTCGGACAATGCTCCCCTTATGACTCTAGAGGTCGTGCGAGCATCCCCGAGCCGTGTCGCTGGCCCAATAGGTGGGTAATTGTGCTCACGCCTCCGTGGATCCAGACGCCTCTGAATCCCCATCATCAGTGTCTTCGCTGCCTTTCAAGACGGGAGGGCTGCTTTGCGACCGGAACTGGGGAGGTTCGATGTTTGGCAATTCAAGATCGCCAGGGGTTGGCGATGATTCTCGTTTCTCTATTGACTCAAATGGTGCTGATGTCTCTGAGGTTGGTGTTGGCGGCGAGTATGCGATAGTCGGGCTCGGCGCACTATCCTGCGTGTCGTCCGTAATATTCCTCCTGTTACCGCCTCGATATGACGACGTCGGCCTGGTAGAACTGGGACTCATGGAGGGCGAGCTAAATGGTGGAGATGACGATCGTAAACTGTAGGATCGAGACACCATGTTTTGCACGCTGGGGAACTCCATATAGCTGCTCACTGCACCCCGAGAAAACAAGACCAAGCCAAAGCAGAAGAGGACCATGATGCTTTGAATCACAGCGACCCGCTTCTGAAAGACAAGTTCATCTGCCAGGACACCCAGCTGCGCACTCAAGGAGAATATCTCCTGGTGATATTGGATGCGCTGGGTTTCAAACTCCAACGCAACCGTCTTCCAAACCTGATCATACTGTTCGCGGAACTGTCTCAGTTCATTCAAAACAGTCACATTCAGATTTTCGAGAAAGGTAGAGGTTTTCGACAGCTGGCGCTTCTCGACTTTGCTAAACGCATCACGCAGTATACGTGACTGCTCCTCGATGTATAGAAGAGACAAAGTCGAGTTCGACTCCAGCATCTGCAGCCGCTTGTTGACAGACTTGAAAAACGACTCTTGCGTAGTCGGGTTAGGTGATGGTGGTTGAGTTGCGGAAAATTTGGTTGAGTCTACTGAAGAAACTTGTTCTTCCTGGGATGAGGCTGTAGATTTCTGGTCTGCTTCCGACGTGGTATCGTGCTGCACAGGCTCAGATATGGTGGCTGTCGAAGCGGGAGAAGGGGTGCCGTCAGCTCCGGACTGTCCAGCAGCTCGTCGAGCATCGGGTGCGTCTTTGGTACCATCACCTGCACCGGGTACGATAGGCACAGAGTCCTCGGGTCCTGGTGGCGTGGTGTCCCTCGAAGACGAGTCATGTTGGACAGCTGCGTCAGTTCTTTCCTGGCCAGCAGGTCTCGTCGGTGTATCCTGCGCACTGCATGTCTCAGAATCTACATAATTTGCCAGAAGCCTCTCCAGCCCTTGTGCTGGGTTCGGGCAGGTAACCTGGGGTTGAGCCTGCACTTTCTTGCCCGTGCCTTCGCGAGTTTCCGCACCAACGTCAGACGGATTTTCGGATGGCTCTGCAATCTCCGCGTCAGTGGCGGCATGGTCCGGCTCCAAAGTCACGTCGACAATCTCATCGTCAACTCGACTAGCCTCGCCATCATGCTTGTATTCCTCCAGCATAGTCGTCCCATGGACGCGTATGAGACTCAGAGGGCAGTAGAACTCGTTTCCGTAGTGCGTCAGAAACTCAATCTTCAGATACCGAGCCCAGATCAACGGGTTCTCCACCGCGAAAGCTTGAACTTCGCGGGTATTCCTGGCTTCAAAAATCCCCAGTTCTCTCCACTGGTCCGGTTTTGGGGGGTATCGATCCGAGACGCTGACCCGGAAGGTATGAAAGATGGAACTGAAGAACTCGTAGTTTGCAAGAACCACAGTGTCCACCAGGATATCGTCGCACAGCTCGAGAATCAGAAACTTATTTTTAGCCCGACATTCATTTAACATGTAGCTGTCTTTATTCTCAATCAGTACGGAAGACGAGCCCTGACACTCGGGGTTGGTCTTGAGCACCGTAGCAGCGCAGTCAAAGGAGGCGTAATTGAAGCGCTCCTTGCACGTAGTCCCAGCGTCTTTCCTGCGCGAGCTGCCTAGAACTCCAGGAGATGGGGCACTCCCATCTCCACCAAGTCCGCTATCAATCGACCCCGCGCTTTCTCCCATGTGAACCCCCGAGCCAAACGACGGCGGTTGCGCGGCCTCTGGCGCGTCAGCCCCGAATCCACCAAAGTCAAGTTCGATCTCCGCGTCTTCTCCCAGCGAATCCAGCGCGTTGCTGATCCCTGTAGGCCGTCGTCGGCTCTCGTTCCCTGCCACCCCACTACGCCGGTTTCCCCCTACATTCTCCGCCGACTGGCCAACCTTTGCTAGATTCTGCTTCTTCCAATCTTCAAAGGATAGGAACTTGGCGTTATCGAGGGGCGAATCTGTGTCCAGCTCTTGCTCCTGACCAGGGTGTTGTTGTTCAGTCGCAGGGCTGGCGATGCTGGTCGGCGACGAACTCTCTGAAATAGTTGACACCGTAACAGAAGGTCCCCCAGTGACCGTAGTTCCTGCCCTACTCCATCGGGTCTCGATGCAGACAGGCCACCGAATAAACTCGGCCTCAGTATCCCGCCAGCCCCTTGCCAGGCATAGTGGCGGTGAGTGCTCCCGTGCCGCTTCTCCAGCCGCAAGCAGGGCAAGGGTGGCCAAATGAACGAGAGATGCGCCCGCACATCGCCCCAAAAGCATCATGCACACGGTGCTGCAGAAGGGAAAAAAGGGTATGCTCAAGTCGAAAGCCGTTATCCCGCTAAACTTCTGCTAGCACGCTTTGACCCTGAAGTCGCCACTGATAAAGGGATGTCGGAAGATGTTTTGAATTAGTCGACTAGATCATATTCATGGTGTGTACATTGCCCTCTGTAAACCATTCAGAGTAATGCATCATGGCGTCAGCGCTCCGGAGAATAAAGCGAAAGAAGGCTTATCAGTACATGGGCTTACCGCGTGCATTCGGCCGCGGTTGCTTGGGCCAGTTGTCGCAAAGAATGAACGAAGATCGAAGAAAGAGGCGAGCAAGGCAGGTTTTCGAGCACTGGTGTTCTAAAAACGATGGCCAGTATTAATTAGACATGTCTGAGTGAAAAATGAAACTGTGTCCACAATTGCAGCCCATGCAAAGAAATTCGTCCCTGCGTCAGGTCGAGGTGGCTTTCTGCGGCTGTCCCCAATCGGCCAACGGTCTGTGACCGCCTTTTCCACTCTCGTCACCGCTTCGAGAATGTATCGCGATGGAGTTGATAGGCAGCTATGTATGTGCACACTCGGGGATTCATTTCCTTTTAACTGAACTACTAGGGTAATTAATGAGACCAAGAGACGATTCACGAGAAATTATTGATTCAGGACTATTCCTTGGGATTATTGTCCACTTCACAGCCTACCTAATCAGCTGTTCCACCTAGCTAGCTACATACAGTACAGTGCCTTGGCTCTTTCAAAGGAACCAACATAGACAGAAAGTGGAAGACAACAATAGTCGCTATTCCCGCAGCTTTTCCTTTTTTTCCCCGCTTTTTCCTTCAGACTCGTGCAGAAGATTCGATGAATAGTGGATGTCGAACGTAAACCATCCATCTCATTCGCCATGCACCGTCACACCTTGCCCCTGTGCCATTGCCAAACCGTCACACATTGCACCTTTTGATGTTGTTGAAGAGTATGTGAACACATAATGTTGAACTCGAACAGAGCGCCCAACCTCCTTGGAATACAATCCCAGTGGTTAATCCGCTGATGAGTCACTTTTGAACTGCTCGCCGCCACCGCTTGCATGCTCCAGAGCGAGCTATAATATACAGGAATAAAAACGACAGACATGACCACGCGCTCCAATGCCGTGAACAAGAAATTCTATCTATGAGAGTGCACTTTGTTTTCTCAATGAAAATAGGAGAGAGGCGAGGAAAGTGTTGAAGAGAAAATCAAAAAGTGGAAAAAAAAAAAAAAAAAAAAAAAAAAGGGGGACGTATATAGGTTTTCTCTGCTCTTCTTCCAAAATGGATGAGACGGAACAACGGGACGGAAGGACATTGGACACAAGGTGAGAAGACGATGGTGATGACGTTAGAGATGAAGGTCGTGCCAGCCACCCACAAGATCAAGATCTTCGTCGATGCTTCCATCGTAACCGCAGGGAATGAAAGGCTTCACGGCCTTGGGAGATTCCACGGCATCACGGCGCTTACCCTTCTCCGGGAACGGGCGGCGGCGACGGTCCTGATGCGCGAGGTTATCTTTCTTGGCCCAAGATCCGTAGTCGAATCCGGATGAGCCAAGGCCCCAATCCTTTCGCCAACTCATGGTGTTTGAAGTCTTCGGCTGGCCGAATGATCTTTCCGTAGGTTTGTAGTTTCTTCTTTTATCGCCTAGCGCAGCCCACTTGTCCAGATTCGACTTCTTGGGTGAGCTTTGCGAGAAGCGAGGAGTCAACCTCACAGCAGAAGTACCAACATCGGTGAGAGGTGACTTGGCAGTAATGTCGACGGGCTTGGTGGGAGGCGTCTCCTGCGCAGAAGAACGGGCATTGAGAAGCGAGGATGACTTGGGCTCAAGAAGACCAGTCGCGGGAGTAGGAACATCCATGCCGCTGCTCTCATGGCTCCAGCTACGGGAGTTTGTCTCGTGCCGTTCTTGGAAGACGACATCCTCATGTTCGGATTCCTCATCCTCATCCCAAAGGTCGCTCCAGCTCTTCGAAATCTGGTCGTTCTTGTTCCGCCCGAACACCATGGACAGAGAAGGTACCGGTTTGGCTGCATGGCTCGGAAGAGAACCTGTGATTGGCACAGGATCCGAAGGAGGTGGGTACCTAGGGGCAATCGGACGGAAGGCAGTAGACTTGAGAGATTCACCCAGAGAGGAGTCGAGAACGGATGCCATAGATGGAGTGCCCTGATGAACGGAGAACCAGGAAGTACCAGCCGTTTCCGAGGCAGGGAAGAGGTCTTCGGAGTAGCTCTCGTTGTCGGGGATAGCAGACAGCTGGCGGATGGCTTGGGGCGGGCTGGATTGCAAAGCTTTGGCCCAGGGGAAAGAATCGCCTTGGTGTGCAAATGTGGTTTGGACCGAGGGGGTACGGAGAGGCTCGCGGTTGGCACTTGCAGGAACAACCTCGCGGTCGTCAGTGCAGAAATCGTCCAATACCTCATCATCGGTAGTGAAGGAAACCGCTCGCACGAGGGCATCACGGACACCGGCGAGCGAGCGTTTCTCAGGATCGACGGCCAAGGCAAATCTCAGGATTTCAAAAGTATCCTGGGACATGTTGGTGAAGATGTCGAAGAGAGACTGGCGGTCACGAACGTAATCCACGAAGAGAATGTCCGATTCCGTGGGGGTTGCAAAGGGATTGCGAGCGAAGAGGACATTCAGCAAACAGATGCCAATCGCCCAAATATCAGCCTTGGCAGGCGAATAGCCATTAGCACCCGGGTCGTACTGTTCGGGGGCCATGTAGCGGTCGCTCCCAACGCACGCTTCATGACACCAAGCAGCACGAGTTGCCAAGCCAAAGTCACCGAGTTTCATCGTGCCGTCCTGCGTCAAGAAGATGTTCTCCGGTTTGATGTCACGGTGGTACATGCCATTCGAGTGAAGGAACTCAACAGCACTAACCAGCTGCAGCATGAAATCGCGAACATGCTCCGTCTCCAAGGGACCGCGGTTGTGCCGAATTGCTTCATAAAGATCGCCGTTGGCGCAGTACTCCAGAACGAGGTACAAATGAGCCTCTGTCTCGAATGAGTGAATAAGATTCACGATATTCGGGTGGTGGGCAAGGCGCTTGTGACAATGAAGCTCTTCAAAACGATCGTCGATCGCATATGGAGCCGATGGATCATCGGATGGTGCCTTGGTCAAACACTTGATGGCCACATCTTGACCGGTCTTGATATCTGTAGCGAGAAATACCATACCAAAGGATCCATGGTTCAAGGGAGCCACGGTCCTAAAACGGCCATCCAAGAGCTGACCTTTAACAAAATTGTTCTTCAAGCAATCCATGACTGATGATTCGGACAGCATGACGTTCGTTTGAAAAAGGATATGCGGTCGTTGGAAGAGAGGATCGGTGGCGGTCCGTGAGAGCTGTCTCTTTAGACAAAAGAGGAAAGGTTGATCAGGCAGTATGAGACCTCTCGGAAGGCCAATGCAGAACAGAAAGCAAGAAAAAGCAACCAGGCTATAAAATATGATCAAGAAGGAAAACCAGGTCTGCAATGCCAAGAAGACCTTGACCACCGAAGAGGACCAACGAACAAAGGGAGTAGAAAAGAATCGAACGAGATGAAAAGAGAAACACCGATTGTTGACTCAGACTTTCATATAAATACCGGAGATGATAACAAAAGGGAAAGATGACAGTGGGTGCGGAGCGCGGTTCAGAGTACCCGGGGAGGGTTTGACGAGGCAAGGAAATAGTAAAGACCGTTATTGGTTCATCTGTATATCGTTTCAGAGAATGAGACTGAATCGAATGAATAAAGAACGAGTTTCGAGTGAACGGCTATGTCCGGTAGAAGGACACGAGAAGATATGAGGTGAGAAGAAATTGAGAGACGATAGAAACGCTGCGTGATATCGTAACTTTAATGCCAAAGTATAACAAACAAGTCTCGTAACTTATAGAGCTGCCTTCGAACACCAGGCTGAAGGGCGAGGAAGATGGTGTGACTCAGAAGCCGAGGAATTAATAAGTCATGAGTTCAAGAGGGCGTGCAATGCAAAACTTGCAGAGGTGAGAGCTGGTATATAAAAGGGCCAGAGAAGGCAATGGACAACTGTTATCAGGCGTCTTCAACAGAGTCGAAGACCCAGATATCAGCACCCGGCCCTGGTTTGGCGGAGATTGACAGACAGCGAGGCAGATCTCACGCTCAAACGAACCGATACCCTCACACCTAGTATATTTGTTGCAATGTAGCACGGTTCTGGAGTGAATTGCAAGTCGCAGAAAGGTTGGTTACAAATGACTTCTTATCCGTGGTTGACTAGCGGTATGAGTCACGGTAGCTGGAGGTGTTCGGGAGGCCAAAGAGACGATACAGCGGTGAGAGGAGCTCGAAGCAGACAAGATGAGTGCACCTGCTCAGAACAGATGGAGAAACAAGGACCTGATCTGATTTTAGGAATTAAGAAGCACTATCAAGTCGCAACGGGTTGAGGTCGAGAAGAAGGAGGCTGGTGAGGGTCGTGGTTGATCCGGATAAGGATGAGAGGAGTCGAGCAGACGGTCGGGAGGCAAATTAGGTAGGTATGTAGGTAGTGGTGGACGGACGATTTAAAAGCTCAGGTGGGTTCGAATCGATGATGAGGAGGAAGAGTAGGAGGAAAGAGACGTCGGATCAAAGATAGAGATGGGAGAAGAAGAGAAGGAACAGGGACAGACTAGGAGTATGGAGTAGGAAGACGAGGCGATAGGGATGGGGAGAGGATGGATAAGGAGATTGCGGGTACTGTACGGAGTATGACTGCAACTATAGACCAGCGATGAGCAATAATGTCAGGTTGTTGGGCCGGGTATGGTTATGTAATAGTAAGGGAGGAGGGGGTGCAGGCAAATACTTCCGTTACCTAAGGCAAAGACGGCACTCGGAACCTTGGGGGAGCAGGAAGTAAGGTAACAGGCCAGTGACGGAGAGAAAGCGGCCGAACGAGCTCGAAACGTCCTACGACTGGACGAAGTTCTATGTGGGTCCACTAGTGGATTCTATCTGAGCCAATCTGTTGTCATACTCGCCATACCAATACGTCGCCCTCGTGGTGACGACTGGTAGGTAAAGTAACTTAGGTAACGAGGTAACGACAATACGTGCGAAGGGGTGATCTTCGGTCGGCCCACCCTTCCTGATTGCTGGCAGACGGGTGCAGGGCAGGTCGCAGGCGGCACTAGCAGGTCGAGTCTGTTTTCGGAAATGGCCCCACACCCCCCTGAGTGATTCATCCTACCTTATGGACAGGTAACTACAGCAAACCTTCCCATCCTCGTCATCACAACTAAGGTACCTTATCATCTCTATTATTATTATCTTGAATATCCTCATTATTAGAACTAAGGAAACAAAAGTCCAAATCACTAGCTCCAATATTGAGTCTTAGGTAGTCGTTGAGAAAGGATAATTTATTGTTGTTCCCCTTGGCCACATGACGATGTATCAGTTCGTAGCGTTCCAGTAATTAAAATCATTATCACCCAGGTACTCGAAAGGAATTAGAACTCTCCAGGCATTCCTGAGCACAGTCAATTGATTTTCGAGTCTTCATGTAGCCTCCCTCCCTATGATAAATTCGGATCCATTTATGAATCTGCTACGTAGTCCCTGATTCCCAGGGCCAGGAGTGTACATTCGCTACTTGGATCAGCGGTTATGCATTAGATATAACAGACTTTGCTTGTTAGACCTACTGTGGAGCAGCTGATAAAAGCATAAGGTACCTAGTATTCTGTCTTGATTCTTGGTTAACTGAGTTCCGCAGCTGTGGTAGGCTGGACAGCAAATCAGATATGCCTGGAAATACTCCGTCCATCGTACATATTAGGTACCAAGTAATCAAAGGGAACAACGGTGCTAAACAAGTTCCTGCAGGTCCAAAGACTAAACAGGGTCTTAAGAGGACATGCTTCATTAGAGTGATAAAAGAAAAACAACTACCTTGGGAGCGTGAGTAGTTGATATCTCAAAGAGACCATAACGTATAACCAGTTGGCATTTCCGTCTCCAATTTTGCAATTGCACCACAATTTCCATCTAGAGCAATGCCCGGCTTTTGCCATCAAGGGCAGCTGGGTATGGGTAAACAATGATGTGCGAGTCGATACTGGGCGAGACCCTCGGTGGTGAACCCGACTAGTCAACCGGATGATGGAAGACGATGATGCATCATGGGCCACCCCCAGTAATTCCCTCGCCGATGGCGGAGCAACGGTGGCGGTAAGGCTACTCCATTTTCGGCTACATGCACTGCCGCTACTGCAATCTGAACCAATAGGGAGCCGCCGAATTGATACTAAATTCAGGCTGCATGACGCCACACCAAATCGGATAGCGCAGTGACCAATGATCACCTGGCTCGAGTGTCTGAGACCTGAGAAAGCCTGGGGTGTCAAGGATAACTTCGATCCAAAGGAAAGCATGGGGAAACGTCATTTCAGGAAAAGATATCAGCATTTAGCATCATATTAGAGCGATATTAGGGTATTTTTATTGATATCCCTGTCATACCTCTCTACTAGGTGGGTTAAATATTAATTAAAGTCAAACGAGCGAAGATCTAGATATGGGATGGCCAGTTCTTAGGAACAGGAACAGGTACCTGGATTATAACAATAAGATTTTCCTGCAAATGGCCCGGCTCAAACGGTCCCAGTACTGCTTATGGAAAGCAACACCCCCTGTGTCGCACAACTGATACCTGATCTGCGCAATCAACGTTGAACAGCCTTTGGCGCGCGGGATTCTCAAACACAAGTCCTGCAATAATCATGGAATTGTATCAATTTGCGGGGTTTTCGAAAAGCAATTACACCTGAGAAACCAATGTATCAGATTTCAACAGCAGCGGGCGGGGTGACACTTGACACATTCATCAAGGAGGGAAGAATGAACAATGCATGGCCAGTCAATCATAATATTCGACTGGCTGCCGCTCTTGTCACTGTGAAGACAACAATCTCAACTCGTCGTCAAGGAAAGGACCTAAAAAACGGCTTGGCCGTGGCTGGCATGCATGCTGGATGCGCATGCCTGGCAACAGCTGGCAGAGGAATGGACGGACTGACTTTCCATCAAAGTGTGTAATCTCGGCGGTGAGGGAGCGGGAAAAGGCCCTTGAGCTGCGGCCTACGTTAGCCCAAGCTTGACCGCTTCCTTTCTGTATGCATGTGTCTCTACGGAGTAAAGTGTAGACTTTTTTGACCTTGCAGTTGGCGTTGCGTGTTTCTGAATGATGCACCTGCTGTTGCCCTGAGACCGACTCACAGGGTACAGTGTACAGCACAGCAGACTGGAAGATTGGTCGAGGGTGCATACAAATCATGGAGAGCATGACATATACTTCCTTATAAGCAGGTACACAGTACCTTCTGGGCTGTTGAGGAGACTTGTCTAGTCCAACTTGGTACCTTAACTACTTCAGATTACTTCCCCGATCACCAATCGCGGACATCACCTTGATCAACCGCCCTAGCTGGCATCACGCGATAAGCTCCCTCCGGATCAACCATACAAAACACACCACACCATCCTCTCGTGGTCTGTTTCCCGCTGCCGCTACAAAAAGAGATCACTTATCTGTTGGCTGACGGCACTCTTATGATTCTATCACTTTCCATCACTTTCTATGCTTCCCTACGGATCGGGCAACCTTCTCAAATCATTTAATCAATCCCAATTGGGCAATCTGAGCTTGATGCTTGCCTCTAGTTGATTGTCAAGTGTGGTGGCACCAAGTCGTTCATTGGAGATTCCTTCCAGCAAGGTATTTTGATACTTTGGTGACCTTGGTCCCAAAGACATGCGTCTTTGCTAGGGTTCTCAGAGATGGCTGGAGACTTCCCTCGTCTATGCTTGTCGTTATCGTACTGGGGTGTTCCTCAAATATTGGCCGGTGGTTGACAAGCACGGCGCTCTTGCTTCGCCATACTCGACATCTGGCACTTTCAGTTGCCGTCGATTGACCAAGGCGTCCGTTTTTGGATCACTTCGCGTTCCACTCACAAGGGAAACGCCAGTTGAAACCAACCAGAGGAGTAATCCGACCTACCGTCGGGTGTCTACCCTACCTTCGGGGTTGAGCGCATCTTCTCGCCAACTCAGCTTCTCGTATTGATCGTTAGGTTTGGCAGATTCTGCATGGATGGCTGGAATGATGGACGCTTATTCACCACAGCAGCTTCAGCCGTTGCGTTTAGATACGTATGTCTACGAGTGCTAATACATTCCATTATGTCCATTAGCAGCGCGGCTGGGCGCTGACAAGAATAACGTCGGATAGAGTCAATTCAGCAGTCATCCGTGGGCTGTGGGGACCTCTTTCTCTAACTGCATAGGGATTATTTCCCTTGTATAAGGTAGCCCATATTGGCTTCCTAGTCAAGTCGCTTCAGGATAATTGTAAACACTTACGGGCAAGTATGGTTGGCTGCTCTGGTGGGACAGAGTATTCCCCCAATGCATGGATCTACCCTACATAGATAGATACCTTGTGCATGTAGTCCGTACCGAATGCGCCTTGAACGATATTGAGGTTGGAGAACACAGAGAAGGCACAGTTTCCGTCCTCCAGATCAGCCATATCTCTGGTCAATCTGGTCAACCATGCAGAACAATAACATACAAAATTACGCAGACTATCTTCGGGTCGCATGTCTACTTTCCCTGCCAGAATAAGAACCATAGTGGTGGGTATGATTGTATGATTTCTGACTAGTCATTGTGCACCACAACATGTCCATAGCGCAAGAGGCAACAGAGGAATTCCCACCTTCTGAAGGTTACGAAGTCGCATGATCAAAAATTCCCTCCCATGTGGCGGAAGAGGATCTACAATAATCATAATACCAGCCTTCTTTTCTGCACTAAGCAACCTCAAAAATATGAGAGGGATCCAGCAACCTGCCGTTGCAAATACAACTAGTCTGTCGATTACCCCGCACGATCTTCGAGTCGCCCAGTCGTATGGAAATTCCTCGGTCCTATCTTCATGGGCATTGGACAATGTCAAAATGGGGTTAACCTCACAATGATGTGATTTGTCCAAAGAGGTCCAAACTTTAGGTAGATAGCTGTGCTTACCTCTATCGTACAGTCCCACTTGACAATCTCTCTCCATATGGGGTAATACATAAACCGGACATACATCACCTGCAATCTTCCAAAGTTAATTAGGATCATTGCCGGAAGCTGTGCAGACGACCGAGTATCCAGTGTCTATCTAGTGGGATCTATTCCCCGTTCTCTGGGACCTTTGCTGGATTTCTGGCACTGGCTTCTGACTATCGAGTCTCAGCAGACCGAACTGTACTCGTAGATAGAGTTGAGGCCTGCTGTAAGAGGACGCCTCTATTCATCAAGTGCTGTCTTGTCAACGGTGCCACCGCGTTTCCTGAGCGCGGAGAATAGGTATTGAGTACGGTTGGGCTCAGTGGCTGCGTTTCCCCGGTTTCAAGAATCAGGGGGTCCTTCCTTCTATTGCACTTTACCTTGAGCATTTTTTTGAGATTGGACGACAACTTCGCCATTGAGTCTAAACTGCCAACTTAGGATCTTCTTAAGGACATCCCGTGGCAAGTAGGCCATAAGTGGATCAGGTGCAATAGAACATCAATTCAAGTGGATGGTAAAGCATGATCTATCCTGAGGGATTTCTCGCAGCACGGCGTGTTTGCTTTTCAAAATGCAATCGCTCATCTCATGTTAGATCCTGCAATCAATCCAGGCTCTCTAAGTTCAGCGAAGGTTTCAAGTGCACGTTCGTAATCCTCATTCGAAGTCCAACCATCACGGTCCAAAAACCCTCGCAGTGCGTCCCAAAACTCTGCTTGCTCATTCCAACCTTCTCCCTCTCGATAGTGTGTTTTCAGTTCCTCGTCCGTGAACTTGATCGGACAAGCAACCTCGTTGTTCATCTCATCCCAATGGCTGCGGTTCGTATATTTGTTGGTCACATTGAATCTAAAGTATAGCTAGGAGAACATACGCGCGACACGGATAAGGCACTGTCTGAAGGGTAGGATATCGTCATCCCAAGTGTTTGTAGAAAATACTACTGCGTCTTTTCTTGTACGCCCGTGAGGTAAGTCAATGTTCTCGTGGAGGACTGGGTTTGTCCTCTTTGTGTCGGATGCATATGCCCAGAGTACAATAGATTTTTCCACTTGAGCCCGGATCCGAGCTCTCTCGTCTTTGTCGTCGATATCCTTGTAGTGCTGGGGAATTCCAGCATGATTTCTCCATTGTAAGCTACTAATTTCGGACGTCGGGAAGAGAGGACCAGCCCAGATATCCTGCCAGTCTATAAGTCCAGTAACCGTGTTCCCCTCAACAAATAGATTCGGAGCATGGATATCCCAGTGCCAGATGGTAGACCTGTTCAGCTCTTTATTGTTCGGCAAAAGATAGTCGGAAACATCCAGCAACTTGTTGTAAAGCTCGTATGGGCATAGGGGGAGTTTTGCCTTGACATATCGCGTAAACGATCGAGATAGGAGCTTCTTTTCAATAGCAACAATCTTCAACTTATGAGCAAGCTTCAGATCATCCCAGATCCCGCCAAGTTGCCTCCCAGTAGCTTCCTCCATAAGTATATATTCTGATCCCACAGGGTTATCTGCTTTTCACTCCAAGCTAAGACTTTTGCGACAGGTATTTCAAGGATAGTCCGAGCCTGCGAAGGGTCAGAGGTATGCTTCTATGCCTCATTCTCAGGGAAAGATGACTTACAAAAACCATGGTCGCAACGCAGTTGTCTTGCACGAATGTCCAACGTTAGGATATGGTATACGTGCACTCACTGTCGAGTTATCATCCGTAACAAGTCGGAAGACCTTATTGAATCCGCCCTCCGCGATTTTTGTCATATAGGAACCGTTTGTATCGATTGCGGAGCTGCATATCCTCGTCCCACAACCATCTCCCGCTTGAGTAACGGTAAAATCCCTCATATTGGAACTCTGGATGTGCGGATATAGTTCGAACGGGACTGAAGGGAGGACTAGATGCTGAGGGAACGAGACGACGAGTGAAGAGCAGTGGTGTCCGTTTAACAAGACCAGCTATGCGAAGGATTGGAGTCAAAGTGACGAGATCAGACATGTTTTGCTTGTATGATGTCTACGATTTCCCGTAAACAGGATGTGATATAGATAATGGCATGGTTGAGCCGGTGAGCGCTTAATCTAGCCTTCCCAGACTGTGTGAGTCCAAAAAGGCAACGTCTTCCTATTGCTTCTATCTCACCTTCCTCGTAGTTCTGAAGCCTCCCAAGTGTCACCTGTAAAGAGTCCAAATACTTGAATACAGCTATAAGCAGTATTTATTGTAGAATAGCCGTTAAGAATTGATGTACCTTAATGGCGTGAGGTTACAACAGTTCACGAGGACATGGCTGACAGCCGGCCTTGTCAGAGCTAGAGCGACGTAGTCAGGATGATTGGGACTTACTCCTGAATTGCTCCTGAAACCCACGTAAAAAGATCATCCGCGCATAAGCAGCTCTCCAAATTGACGTTGGTAATTATCATGCATCATAAAGAACATGAATCGCGCATTTCTTCTGGATTGAGTCATTGAGAGGCCTCCGCATTTTTGCTTTGTTGATTATTGTCATGTCCGCATTTGCGTAAAGAGTCCTTCCTTCAATGCTGACTACAATTAGCAGATTGATCTACAAGGCACATCCAGGCTGCATCATGAATACTCCCTTTCTGTACGGAGTACTATCACCAGATAGCCACCCTACATGAGACTTATCCCACTGATGCTCCCACGTTGATCCATCCTTGATCCTCGTCTGACGAGTCGACTCCTCTCCTGCGCTTGCTGAAAGGAATGATGGCATATTCTGGTGTAACATTCCACCCAGTGACAAGCGATAAATAACAATATGAGACCGTTCTTTGGTCTCCATAGCCCTCTTCATGACGGACTGGCAGTCTACGCAGTACTGTCCATGAGCTTCCGTGGCTGTCACACAATAAGCAGCGTGTTTGCCGTCAGCAAACGGTTCTCGAGTCAGCTTCAAGAACAACCTCTTGCATAGGCACGCAGGAATATGCATATGTCACTACCATCATGATCCATTCCCCCACCAACTGCCAGAATCCCCTCAACAACATTCCACCTGATTTCATCTTTGTTTGACAATGTCTCATTTTTGGCTCGGCTATTTAATTTTTGGTATCTACGTAAGTATTGTCTCATTGGAAGGTGGGATTGTGACATATCTTGCATGCGGAGGTGCAACTGGAATCATTCCGTCTGACATCTTCTATCAGAGTATCTTTCTGATTGCGACATGGCAGATACTCAGATGTCACTCATGGGAATTCTCGCCTACTTTTCAGCGAGCTCGATGACTTGGAATGAATCTTCAGTCATGATGTCCCAGATCTGTATGGTGCATCAGCAGCAGCGGATGCTTGTTCCGTTCATGCATAAGAATCTGTTCACGCATTACTCTAAAGACCTTCCACAAAGCTGAAATACTCTATCTGATATCAGTAATTCAGAGAGACATCAAATGAGATGATGTAGGATTGGCTGATGTGATTGGCTCGTCGGCTTCGGCCGCACCCACCGCCGAGACGGAGAGAAAAGACTCTTCCGCTTCGGGAATTCGATGGTGATATCTTATCCCATAGAGAGTACCTAAAGGGATATTGTTTTATCATCATCGATTAATACGGGCACCTACCGGATAGATTGTTCAATGATGTATCGGTGATCCTGAAGTAAAAAGGGATCGTCGACTTGCCAACCATGCAATATGAGCAAGCGTCCGTACGAGGAGTCATTGTTCCACGGTGGCTCACCACCAGAGCCTATCGATAACAGCCACAATGGCCTGTTGCCCATCAATGATCTCCTGTCACCAGAACCACCCCCGTCTCTAAGCGGGTCCGTCAAGAAGCCTAGGAGCTTCATCGCCACTGTAGTAAGTTTTCCGCCTTGTAATGCCATCAGGTCCATCGTTGACATAAGTATAGGCATGTGAAACTTGCCGTCTGAAAAAGACCAGGTGCGATGAATCGCGCCCAAAATGTGGACTGTGCAAGTCGCTCGGCCTGGAATGCGTCTACAATGAGCGCAAATCGTCCAAGTAAGTCCCCAGGGATGATAGCGCCTGGCGGGGGCTTCCTGTCGCTGACATTCTTTCCAGACGAGATCAGTCGCTTAGTCTGATCATGAGCACTCTCCATCGCCTGGAGACAAAGCTCGAGAACATCTCGTCGGCTGTTCGTGATGACATGCAGCCTCTCCATCAACAGATGCTTAATGCACTCGAGGGCCTGAGAGATGCAGCTACCCCGAGACAGAGTGGCCGCGCCAGTGACAAGCATGCTGCCTTGTCAAACTCCCAGTCGCAGCATCTCACACCCGAAAATGGGGAGCCGGATGACTTTGTGTTTGATGAACGGCCCAATACAACCGACTCCAATGGCCATATCTCGATCTCTTTCAGTCAACACGGCGTGATCCTCTGGCCTGGAGCTCGAGAGATCTTGCCCCAGAGACTTCTCGAAGCCCATGAACGACTGGGGAGGAACTATGTGATTGACCTGGAGATGAAGCGTCCCCATCTGTCTATGTATACATATCCGTATCCCCCGCAGGCCGGAGAGGACTGGCTGGAAGCACTGCCCCTTGGTATGATCAAGGGACTTTCGGACGCATTTTTCGCTACTTTCAATCTGTTCACGCCGATCATGGACAAGACCTTCTATTTCGCTTTTACACTGGGTGCGGCGATTGAGAGCGGGTTCGGTTACACCATTGAAACCTGCCTGGTTCTTAATGTGATGGCCTTGGGCTGTCTGGCTGTCCTGAGCCATCAGGAAGGAAACTATCCTTTGCCAGGAACTCGAAGCAGTCGCTTTGAACCGCCGGAGTGGATGGGGGTCATCCACGAGGTGCCGCCAGGCTTACGGTTCTTCAATGAAGCTCGGAGACGGATTGGCTTCCTGATGTGCCACAACGACATTCAGAGCTGTCAATTTTACCTCTTGTCTTCGTAAGTGCTTCATTTCTCCCCCAAACGAGCGCCTACTGACCTGATATCGAAGCGTATACTACAGCCAGATCCTGCGTCCCATGGATTCCTGGGCCATGATTCACCGCGCTGCTACGTGCTGTTTATCAATGCTAACCAAGTAAGTTGGTTGACTTCCCTTCCGGCATGCAATGCTTTCAACCACTAACAATCGAAGCCATGATGTCAATTTCGATGAGTGGGAAGGAGACATGAAATCACGGGTATACTGGAACACTCTCATGAACGAGACCATCCTTGTACAGGAATTGCATCTTCCACCCAGCGGACTTTCACGTCTCGAGGAACTCGTCCCTATCCCTAAATTTATTGGCTTCGAATCCGTCGGCTTCGTGCCAGCTCGCTTCTCGTCCTCTACGGAAGAAATTGACGAATCCTTCTTCCAGTACCATTTCCTCGCGCAGGTCGCCCACCGTATCATCCTTACCCGGATACGTCATTCACTGTACTTCTACTGTAAGTCTTCGCCTCTGAACCTGTTCCTCCTGTGCTGCCCGAGGCCTCTAACACCGTCCTCAGCCGATTCAGGAACCTTCCCTCTCCCGGCCGTCAACACCGAACTCCGCCACCAACTCGAGCAATGGCGCATCAATCTCCCTCCCGCGCTGCAATTCTCTGACCCTCGACCCAGCACCCCTATGGACCCGAACCCTTCCCCGGCCCCGATCTCCCCCCCTCTCCCCATCGATCACAACCGGCCCCTTTCACCCGCCATAGCACTCACAGAGGCAATGCTACGCGGCCGCTACATGATTGCCAATTTCCACATCGGCCGGCCGTATCTGTACAAAGCGCTCCGGATCCCGCAACACATAACAGACCACGACCTCGAGCAAATGCGCAACGGCCTCCGCCACGCAATGGACTGGCCCCCCGTTGGCGGCATCTTCCGCAAAATGAAAAGCTGCATCCCGATCAAGTTCGCTTTCTGTTCCCAGTAAGCTTACCTACCCTCCCTGCCTCGTCTTGTCTTGTCATGGCCTACACCGCGCTGCACGTACTGACGCGCCATCATCAGGTTCTTCGGCCAAGTCCTCCTCTTCTACTGTGTCTCCCATCACCCCGATCCGCGCCTCCGCAAGGCCCTCCCCGTCGGCTGGGAACGATGGACCGACGAGATGCTGCGTTTCCTGGAGGACTGCGCGCCCTTTAGTCCAGCCGTCGCGAAGGATCTGGAACTCTTGCAATTGTTACGATGAGTACTTTGTATGCATATGCACGTATATGGCTTCTGTCACGATTGATGCTGTTGGGGCGGAATCGCGTGTCCTATCTTGTCTTGTTTCGCTTAGTTTGAGATATCCTAACGCTTGTATGATAGTTTTGCCCTAGAACTAATTGGACCTTGACGGTCGTTCTTGTCTATGAATGTGGCAGACATAATCTTTGTTTCGCGACGGCGAGCAACGTAATAGGCCACCTGATACGTCATCTTCGATCCATTTACATCCGGGATTATAGATACACTCTCTCAAATACAGATGAATCCTTCCCTTAACTATACATCATGCTGAACGCTCAATCCAAGAG